TACATCATCCACACTTGTCCTATCTACCATCGCATTTAACGAATAATTCGACATCGATGTCAAATCGATCACGTTCTCGTTCTCCGCATCACAATCAAAATCACAAAGATCAATACAAAACAACATCATCGTCTTTAACGTCGAATCTGTCCGAATCGTCGTCAATGTCGTCTAATAAAAAGCAGCGAAATTCACCTAGTGTAAAATCAGAATCGATTAGCACACCTCCGTTGAGAACAGTCAATGAAAAAACATCACTTCCACCATCGCTACCCCCATCAATGAATCCACTGGGACTGGATCCTGTAACGTTATCGATATTAGAACGGCAGCGCGTTTCAGCTGCTTACGCATCGTTATTTTCAAATCCGTTTTTAACACCGCCTGCAATGAATGACCGATCACCTTATGGTAACGCAGGTTTTTGGCCAGGCATGGGGGGAAATGATCGAAATCCTCATACAGCTGCAGCAGCGGTGGCAGCTGCCGAAGCTTATCGAAATTTATTCGACGCTCAACGTTTAAATGAAACATTTTTACAACAACGTGAACATTTTCTAGCACTCGCCGCATCGGGACAATCTCCAACAACAACATCTCCTCGTGGTCCCAGTCTACCGCCATTTACCTCACAAGAAACGTCTCGGTTATTTCAAGAAAACTATGAACGTGAACGTTTAGCGTACATAAAAGCAGCAACATTAATCAAAGATGAACCAAAAACAAACGGTATTCTGTCTTCACCAAAAGTACCTATAAAAGCCGAACGTTTTTCACCTCAAACAGCCACAAATAATACAAGTCCAAAACAAGAACCGCCGTCGCCTTCATCTTCAACATCATCGTCTAAAACATCGAAAAAAATCAAAAAGTCATCAGCATCTATTAATTACACAGCACCTGCTGTTGCTACTCTACCCCCATCTACGACTATTTCTACTACTTCTCTCCCATTAGTGGAATCAAATACGGATTCATCATCATCATCTGATATTGCCATTCAGCCTGCTCAACTATCGAATGAAGCGGCTGGCGATGTAAGGTAATGTGGCTGGTTTCCTTGCCGTACCGAGCATTCATGTTAATACACCGGTGAAGAAGAAAATAACGTTTTTCCTTTCTTGTTGTTATTTTTTGTCGTCATATGTTGTTGTTATTGTTGTATTTATTTTCTATGTTTCCAAAGCGTATTGAATGTTTTTCTTCACATTTTTTCTGTGTTCCATATTCTCTCTCTTTTTTTTGACATTATTTGATAATTAGAAGAAATTATCTGGCTGTTAGTTTGTTGGTTTTTTTCGGTTTTTGCTTTTCTTAATATTCGCGTTTTATATATTCTACATATGAATTTTGATTTTAAACATCCGCTATATACAATTTTTTCTCTTAGTAAGATAATTAGTTCCTAATCAGAAGCTTATAGTAACTATTACTCACTTCTCTTTTGCCAGTTCGAGTTTGATCAAACTTTTGCCGCATTATTGCAGGATATAAATGGACTTAGGTACGTGTCTTTATCAAGTTTTTTCTCTCGCGTGTTGTGCTCCGAACAGTACTTTTTAAGCGAAATGGTATTTATTTGAACAATTTACAGTTGAGGCTAAAATTATGCGTATGACCTATGAAAAAAATCTTGTTGCTATATCGAAGATCTTCATCAACACAAGTGTTTAAGCAGCACGAGTTTATCTCTATCGAAGTATTACAAAAAGTAACTTGTATATATATTTCCGTGAAATGTGAAACTCGATACAACGACTTGATACAGCTTTAATTTAGTTTAGTTTTACAACCAATTATCAGTTACTATTCTACGCCGAATAAAAGGTCAGACTTTGAATATCTAGATTTTCTAATGGTTTGTCTCATACATACAAGACTTAGAATTATGCCGTGACAACAACAACATATTAAATGTGAAATAAAATCTTACGACATAATTTTTCTCCTAGGACGTGAGACAAATTCGAATTCGTAGTAGATTTAAACTTACTAACCCAAAAATATGACGCTTTAGTGTACAGGAACTGAATGCAAAACGTAGACAACATTTGTACCAGAATTCTAGTAGAATCTGTATAAATCTGACGCGCAAAACAGTTTTAATTTTAGTAACGTCTACATATACATATGTGACATTTGTGTATGTATAT